TGTTGCAACGGGTAGAGCCAATTTAATTTGTGCATATGTATCCATGGATAAACAACCCATTGTTTCGTTTATTCATGTGCTTACTGTATCGCTTATTGCCAGATAAAAGACTATTTGTATGAAAATCTTTTATATACATGTTCTTAGCAATTCAAAAGAATAAATAACCAAAAAGTCAAATTCAAAATTAAATTCTAAAGTTTAATATTTGACTTATAGGAATAAGCATAAACCAAACAATGAGGCCTTCAAACAACGAGCTCGATTTGTCGTCCAGCTTTATCTCAAGTTGGGTTGGAATTGATGACGGATGAAATCAGCAATTTTGATCATCCTTTATTTCGGTTGGCATGTTCTTTTCGAAAGTAAAACTGATTCTTATGGATTATTGTAACAGTATCCCTGCTAGTACGTATGAGGATGCGTGGAGATTGACTTAAAATCATGGTAACATGTCCCAAGAATCGTGTCGTGTAGTACGAATGGAATTGGATGATCTAAGCAACGACGTCAGTGATATCCACACGAACTCTGCGAGTTTCATTCGCTTGGAATCCATGTCACACATAATCTCTTTCGAAGTTTGCTCGCAAGTCGTGACTTCGTAATGAATGTTACGCGTCACAGGAATCGGATACCTATGGCATACCATAGTTTTGAACAAAACAACTTCAATTTTTAAATCACGGACGAGGGCGACGCAGTCCCAATCGAACATGCGGCAAGGGCAAATTGCGCGTGTGAGGGCGCCACGGGTCTAATCGGGCATGCGGAAAATCATGCGCACGAGAGCGTTGTGGGCCCAATTGTGGCGGCGTGCAAAGGCGTGTGTGGAAAATGGATACAGGCGTGGGCCCGATTGTTGCGTGCAACAAGGGGCGTGTGAAAAGGTGCGAGCTCAATTAATTCGCTCACGTCTCAGATAGGAGAAACACTCTGGTGTAAGAAAAAAATGAAAGGATTTGACAAAAATATAAAATTAAAACCGATTCAAAAGCGAATGACGTACCAAAATTCTGACGGAAACATCTTCAGTTTTTATGACAGCAAAGATAAATTTCACATGAAAAACAAACCTTTGGCTAATAAATATATAAATAGCCATGGTCATGTCCGAGCTAATAATGTCCTCATCATACAACAGACATCCATTTTCTCTATGTGACAGTGTAATTTGGATAAGTGGAAAACCAGAAAAGAGGAGGATTTGGAGTTTGGACATGGTGATGCATAGTTACAAAGCGCGGCAACTAGGCCTTGTTTAGTTCCAAGATTTTTCTTCAAACTTTCAACTTTTTCATCACATCAAAATTTTCCTACACAGATAAACTTTCAACTTTTCCGTCACATCGTTCCAATTTCAACCAAACTTCCAATCTTGGTATGAAATAAACACACCCCTACTGTGGGCAGAATCTCCTATGGGTCCATGCCTAAAAGTTCATGATCCACATTTTGGAGTAGTCCCTTCCAAAGGGGCAAGCCACTGCTACTGCTTTTCCGCAATAATAGTGGTTTATCTCCATCCCTCTGTTCTGTTGCAGCGTCATCGATCCTCCGTTGATTGTTCTTTTCGTACAGGATTAGACTTTTGATCTTTAAGAAAGCTGCAACTAGGTATAGGGAATAGGGAGCAGTTTTTAATGCTCTGAAGGCTGTTGCTTGTCAAGAACACCTTACCACTTCTGTAGCTTACTGTGTAGGATTGTCCATTAACCAAAATGATGGCCCGCACAGATTGCGCTGCTAGCATTATTATATTTTCTCTCATATAATAGCATATATGTTTTCTCATTATATTATTAAAATATATTACAATGACAACATAATTTTAAATTTTGCAATAACTTTACGAAACTACTAATGTGTAATATTCATATTGTATTTTATATACGTGTTAGTTATTAATTATTTTTAATATCACATTGTAGTTATTTGTAAATTATATATATTCCTATATGGACTCTAGACTCGTCTTGTAATAGTTCTTTTTTTTAATTCTGAATTTTTATTATTTCTAATTGTATTTTTATGTGGACTCTGAACTCATCTTTCAATATTCTTTAATTTTTAATTTCAAATTTTAGTTACTTCTAAATTGTATTCCTATATTGACTTCAAACTCTTCTTCCCATGTTTTTCATAATTTCGGATTTTAGTTATTTGTAAATTGTATTTTTATACGGGCTTTAAACACTACTTTTCGTTTTATTATGTTTATTCTGAAACTTAGTTAGTTTTAAATTCCTATATGGACTCTATACTCTACTTCTAATATTCCTTATTTTTTAATTCCGAATTTCTATTTTTTTTATTAATTGTATTTCTATATAGACTCTATACTCTACTTCTAATATTCTTTATTTTTTTAATTCCGACTTTCTATTTTTTTCTTAATTGTATTTCTATATGGACTCTATACTCTACTTCTAATATTCCTTATTTTTAATTCCGAATTACTATTATTTCCTAATTGTATTCCTATATCAACTCTATACTTTATTTCTAATATTCCTTATTTTTTTAATTCCGAATTTCAGCTATTTCTAAATTGTATTTCTATATGGACTCTGTTTTTTATTTTTCTCCGATTAATGTGAGAATTTTAGGTCATGAGAGCGAACGTGGAGGTTCCTTTTTTTCCGAATTTTAGTTAGTTTTAAATTCTTATATGGACTATATACTCTACTTCTAATATTTATTATTTTTTTAATTCCGAATTTCTATTTTTTTTCTTAATTGTATTTTTATATGGGCTCTATACTCTACTTCTAATATTCCTTATTTTTAATTCCGAATTTCTATTATTTCTTAATTGTATTTATATATGGACTCTATACTCTACTTCTAATATTCCTTATTTTTAATTCCGAATTTCTATTATTTCCTAATTGTATTTCTATATGGACTCTATACTCTACTTCTAATATTCCTTATTTTTAATTCTGAATTTATGTTATTTCCTAATTGTATTTCTATATGGACTCTAGTCTCCTCTTCTAATATTCCTTATTTTTTAATTCCGAATGTCAGCTATTTCTAAATTGTATTTCTATATGGACTCTGCTTTTTCTTTTTCTCCGATTAATGTGAGAATTTCTAGGCCGTGAGAGCGAACGTGGAGGCTCCTTTTTCTATTCCTTTAATAATATAATAGATAGATAGATTACTATACACAGGAAAAAAGAAGAAAAAATATCAAACTAATTCGTGTTTTCCCTGGCAATGAACCGGTTTGGTACGCAATATGAGACCAAATTAGCCAGGAACTGCTGATAAGAATGAGCATTGCTCAGGGAAGATGTAAGAGGTACTAGCTAGTTGGGTGATGCCATGCTCCGTGGAAACCATAGAATATGCAGTAGTTTCTTGTTCTTCCACAGATCTAACTCCCGTATCATCTGAGTTTAATTAAGCCACGTTGGGTTTTCTTTTCCAATTCCATTTCACAGGACCGCAAAGAAATGGTCAAAGCCTCGCTGTCCCAAGTCACGGTCTTTTGTTTCAGCTGATGTCTGTTTGCACAGGGGCTGGTTCAATCACTGCGATCTTGTGGGATTCGGAAGCTAGCACCCCCACACAGGTCCAACGCCAACGTGTTCGCCTCCGTGACGCTTGATAACGTACTTCCGCACCCCCTTTGCACGTCACTTTGAGCTGTAAATCACATGCGTATCTTGTACTAGCACACGTACTGCAGCAACCAGCTTACCAGCCAACGGTGTAGTGCCTGGGCCGCATGGCGCTCATGCCTTGTATTACTGCAACTCCTTCCCGACGCTGCACGCATCCGCTCGTAGCCTCGTACGCCGGCCTCCGTATAGCCTCGTACGCCAGCCTCTCCATGCCGCTTTGCAAGAATACAACTACACAAGCGCTTGGCATTTTTTCCGTACGGGGATCATCTGCTCGAGTGCCGTATCCGTCTCAATCGGACGGGCGAACCATCCGTTTCAGTCCATGCGCATTACGCCGACGAGGCGACCCGGTGTATGTATAGAGCAAGCTAGCACGAAACGAGCGGCGCACGAGCCAACGCGCCAGTGGCAACGAGCGCACGCACGTAACGTACGTGTGCATCGTGCCTGTCAACTGTCGCTGACTGCCTGCGTCGCGCTAGCCGCCGGGCGGACGTAAGTACGTCGCGGCTAGCCACACACATACACACGCACAGAGGAGAGGGGAAGGCGCTTTCGTGTGGCAGGCAATAACACATGATGCGCGCGCATGCTGGCGTGCGTCCATATCCCAGAGTGACGGTGTTGCTGCCGTAGTTTGCCTGCCTCGCTTTCTCGCTCGCAGTCGTCGCAGCCCAGCGTGGAAAACTCTACCGCGCGAGGGATCGACCGGATGGTGATCAATGTTGCGTCCCGTCTTCAAAAACCGCACGACGGCACGAGATTGATCCACCGGTCTCATTCGTACCACGGCGAAAGCCAAGGCGATCGTCGCATTCATATCTTTTAGGCAAGCGTCAGCCACAGTGACGGCCCAAGATTTTCTCGCCGTCGATCGTCGACGACGTTGTTACTACTACCACTGGCTCTGCACGAGTGGCACGCTGGCTTGACCGAGTAAAAGACGGCTTAAGTTGCGTGGATCCCGAGGTGTGGAGCCAGGAGATCTCGAGCGCATCCTCATGGAAGGGCGCAGGGCCAATCGGCTGCCGCACTCGGCGGGAACAATGGAGGAAGGCTTGCAAAGCTGTGGTCGAGCGGTCAGCGCACGCACGGACTCTACAGGAATCGGCTTGCGGGTGCAGGCAGGCATTTGCTGCATTTTTGCAGTTGCATTGCCAAAGGGTTCACGCGAGCATGCCCGCATGGTCGCATTATATTTAACCCGACTTGAGTTCCCCAAAGGCATGACACTATGAGCAGTACAACACTGTTGTATGGTCTGTCATCCAGAGTTCCATACTATCTGGTCTTCTTATCCTTAATAAAATCTTGTTTTGAAGGTTACGGATATGATCAGTGTCTATGCTCGGAGTCGCGGTAAGTATGATATGATATGCTTGTAAACTACTCCAACAATAATCAAGCGTGAAACTAGAACACATCGTTATCATCGACAACGTGGCAATCAGCCAAGATCTAGTGGACACGTTTCATGACAGGCTCTCGAGCGAAATGTGATTGACCGTCAGGACAGAGGCAGCCGCGGACCCACGTGGATACCGTGCTCCAATCCGGGTTTCCATTAGATTCTCGGGGCCCGGCTGCTCCAGTGGCCACACCCCCTTCTCCTATATAAACCCGCACACCCCCAACCGTGAGGTCCATGTCAAATTTTCCCACTCACTCTTGTTATCTCGGCTAGCTCCTCCTCGGCTCGATCCCTTCCTTCTCACATCGATCCCTTTCTCATTCCATCCATCCACAGTTCTTGTGGGAACCCAAGGATCGATCCTGAAGGGGACGTCCCGGCCGAGACAGCAGAATATCAAGCAGAGAGCAGCACGACACCGAGAGAGCCATCAGCTTCTTCTCGGTTGGTCTCATCCACCTACGAGCACCGGCCAATGCGCATGCCTCTGTAAGACTGCAACGCTAGAGCAAGAAGCCATGGAGCTCAAGGCGATGTACCTGTACGCCGCCGTGCTGGCCGTGCTCCTCTGTTCGTCGGTCAACTTCATCCAGAGCCCCACCGACGTGCTCGGCCCGGTCGCGCTCCTCGAGCCGACGCCGTCCTCCGCGCGGGACTTCGGCGCCGTCGTCTCCGACGCGCCGTTCGCCGTCATGCGGCCTGAGTCCCCCGACGACATCGCGCTCCTCCTGGGCGCGCTGTCTTCGACGGCTCCGAGCCCGAGGGCGACCGTTGCAGCGGTCGGCGCGGGCCACTCGCTCCACGGCCAGGCACAGGCGCGCGACGGCATTGTGGTGGAGACACGCGCCCTGCCGCGCGACGTGCACGTGGTGTCGGCGCGGGCGCACGGAGGCGACGACGATGCCACCGTGCGCGCGTACGCCGACGTCGGGGCCGGCGCGCTGTGGGTGGAGGTGCTGGAGGAGTGCCTCAAGCTCGGCCTCGCGCCGCCGTCGTGGACGGACTACTTGTACCTCACCGTAGGCGGGACGCTGTCCAACGGCGGCATCAGTGGCCAAACGTTCAAGCATGGCCCCCAAATCAGCAATGTCCTGCAGCTTGAGGTCGTCACAGGTACTGCACGGCCACACACACACTTGTACCCTCTCTTTCTCTCAGCGACCGTGACTCTATGAGAATGGAAGGGTCGAGTGAGTAGAGTGATCTCAGCGAATTTTCGTCTCGTCTCGTCCCATTTGGTTTTTGATGTTCCTGCCGTGTCGTTAGCAGGTAAAGGGGAGGTGGTGACATGCTCCCCCACCGAGATCCCCGAGCTTTTCTTCGCAGTTCTCGGTGGGCTCGGCCAGTTCGGCATTATAACAAGGGCAAGGATTCCACTCCAACTTGCCCCTCCCAAGGTACTAACTCTACATGTTCATCTAGAAATAGAAATGTGAAAAGCTGTCTCCTTTTTAATTGACCAGCTTTTGTACGTCTTAAGCTTTGATGGAGCAACTTGTCATTGTTAATGTTGCCGTCATGATCATTAGGTGAGATGGGTGAGGGCCTTCTACGACAGCTTCGAGACCTTCACCGGGGACCAAGAGCTGCTGGTCTCAATGCCGGAGCAGGTGGACTATGTTGAGGGGTTCATGGTGCTGAACGAGCAGTCGCTGCATAGCTCCTCCGTTGCCTTCCCTGCTCAGCTCAACTTCAGCCCGGACTTCGGCTCCAAGGGCAGGAAGAAGGTCTACTACTGCATCGAGTTCGCAGTGCACGATTTCCAGCAAGACAGCTCCAGGGCAGACCATGTCAGTCTGCTAATCCTAATCACACTTTTTTTCTGAAAGATCAGTCACCTAATCAATTTAGCACAGCAATTAAATTATCATATCCTAACAGAAAACGACTAATGGGATTCTTGTGCTGCAGGTTGTGAAGCTGGTTTCAGCGAAGCTGAGTTACTTGAGGCCCCACGTGTACAGTGTGGAGGTGTCCTACTTCGACTTCCTGAACAGGGTTAGGATGGAGGAGGAGAGCCTGAGGAGCCGAGGACTTTGGGACGTGCCTCACCCATGGCTCAATGTGTTCGTGCCAAAGCACGGCATCACCCAGTTCAAGGGCTTGCTCATGGACACCGTCTCGGCGGACGACTTCGAGGGACCCATCCTCGTATACCCTCTTCTCACTGATAAGTACGTCCATTTTCATGTCACTCTAAGATACTAGCACTTAGCTAAGGGCATTAGCAACTTTTGCATGCACAAAAGCCATTCAATGATGAGGCGAGATCGCCTTGTCACCACAAGAGAAATAAAAAAATCTAAACTGTTCCAAATTGGAAAAATAAGTGTCTTTTTGGAGAGATAGGAAGCAAATTGCAGATAAGATCTAGTAGTGTCTTGAGGCTGTTGATAATCTTTTCTTTGCTACTTGGGTCGTAGTTATCCTCTCCAAAAATGGGTTGCACGGCATGTTGGCCCAATTGTGACAAGGCCATAGCATCTCCCAACAACAACCTAGATTCAAGCCTCGTAGCGGTCACCTCATGCTTTCTTTTTCTCTACACCATTTCCCGTCAGTCGTCACAATTCCCTGCGTCCACAGGGAAATTGGCCTTTTCCTTACCCCCTGCAAGCCTTGAAAGCTCTGTATTATCTCCATCCTAAAATAAATCAACTTCAAACAGAATAAATCATATTATATTCTAGTTTAGTTTATTTTAAGACAGAGATGATAGGTTGTAGCCGAGTATTACAGTACCTTCTAACACAGGAGTCCACTTCTTCAGGTTGAATCCCTTGATCAGAGATTTTGTTCATTGGAGAACAGATTCGAGATTTTGTTCGTCCAAATTATTAAAGAGAATCAGATGCGTATACAGTAGAAAAAAAAAGCATTTTGCTGCTTTGCAGGGCACTGCGGTGTGTTGTGAACAGTGTTGGCAAGCGGGGAGCAGGGTGGGGTCGGGCCTAGCTTGAGTATGACTTGCCACCTTGATCCAATCCAAGTGGATAAATAAGGGTAGGCAACTGCACAGTGGTAGGCAACTAGCGTTTCCAAGAAAACTGCATGTTCACTACGTGATCATCTTCAGATTGTGTGATGGAAACAATTCTTTCAAACCGTGCATTGGGAGAGAGGATCCTCCATAGAAAAACGTAAATATTAGAGAATGATCTAATATCAAATAAATAAAAGGGGTGAGACTTTGAACCTATGCCAACTAGCTCACCACCTTGTGAAGCTAGCCGGAAAACCCCTATATGTTTCTCAAGAGGATCCTCCATAGTACTGTTAGCTGATACATGAATCCCATTAACCCTCACGCTCATATGTTAGTGAGTATTACTACACATATAATAATACAAAAGATCTCAATTGTGTGTATTGGCATTGATTAGTAGTTGTGGTGTTCCAAGGTAGTTTTATCCGGACCTGAGTAGATTATTTAAACCTAGTTAATTTATGCCATCAATAATTATAAAACTAGATGACGCCCCGCGCTTTACTGCGCAGATATATGTTAGATAATAGAGAAATAATGAATGATTTGGATTGAAATATTATGAAAATGATTTGAGAATGATGATTTAGCATGTGTATGTTTAGTTTTAGAATAAAATAAATTGTAGATATAATTACTATGTGTTTGCATGTTGAGTTTTGTGAGCTTAATTGATTGATGTGGCATGCTTGCATGTAGGTCTTAGTAGTGATAATAAATATTATGCTTGCATGTTGAGTTTTAGGTGTGTAGTGAGCATTAGCTTTATAGAAAGAAGAGATTGGTATGTATTGTACTCCCTCCGTCCCAAAATAAGTACAGCCATAGTTTTCCGTGCCCAACTTTGACCATTTGTCTTATTTGAAAAATTTTTGAAAAAAATTAAAAACATAAGTCGCGAGTAAATTATTATTCATGTTTTATCATCTTATAACAACAAAAATGCTAATTATAAAAAATTTCAAATAAGACGGATGATCAAAGTTGGACGCGGAAACTCATAGCTGCATTTATTTTGAGACGGAGGTAGTATCTTTCGTAAAAAAATTTTCTGGTTTCGCCTCTGATCAGTAGCTGGTTACGGCTGTAGCAGTATCTCCATATGCTGCCTATTTGCTCGTTGCTTGCCTGTCTTTCCCGTTCTCCGTCCAAGCCTTCCTTCACAATTTGGCATTCCTTCCCCGCTTCATATATCACTGTACAGTTGCACTGGTTTACAGCTAGTACAAGGTAGCAAGGGTTGCAGTAGGCAGTGCACAGTACTCCTACTACAGTAGTAGACTAGTGTATTACTGCTAGCTTCCACCTTGGTTGCAGACTTGCAGCAATGTGCTCGTGTATGAACTCTGCACGCGCCCGTGTGTGCAGCTGAGAACTTCAGATTGTAGTGCACGGATTTATCGTCCCAAACCGTGCAGAATCGTCTGCTCGGATGACCTTTCTGCTGTCGGATTAGATTCCCTTCACCTCGAAACCCTCCGGACCGACCAATGGCGTGATCCTGCTACAGAATAGATGATGTTTTTCCCTTTTCAGGACAGAGAATCTGACCTCCTCTGAAATGCCATTTTTGGAAGGCGCCACACGAATCCGAACGAATGACCGCCACCAAAGCGTGTTGCATTTGCGTATCTGTGGTTCTTTCTCGTGAAGTACTGACCGGCTTTTTGGCCCGTCTTTTTCAGGTGGGACGGGAACACGTCGGCGGTGGTGCCGGCGGCGCCGGACGGGGTGATGTACATCTTCGGCGTGCTCCGGTCGACCGACCCAGCGCGGTGCGGCCGCGCGTGCGTGGACTCGATCATGGCGCGGCACCGCCGCGTCGCCGACGAGGCGTGCCGTGATGGCGGCGGCGGAGGCCGCGGCATCGGCGCGAAGCAGTACCTGGCGCGGCAGCCGTCGCCGGCGCGCTGGCGCGACCACTTCGGCGCGGGCTGGGGCCGGTTCGCGGCCCGCAAGGCCCGCTTCGACCCGCTGCACGTTCTTGGGCCGGGCCAGGGCATTTTCCCAAGGACGGATTCCGCGGGTTCGATGTGATAGCGCCGGCCCGGCAAGGGTGGCGTCACATAATCATCAGTTCATCACGTAGGTAGTCGAGGACGTACGTAGGTAGATGTTGCTAGCTGCGATGACATTTTTCAGGCTGACTCATCAGTAGGCGTGTCTGTGAAGAGTGTTCATTGCATGCTTATAAGTTTGTAATGCTGTTTAGGTGATTATTTGTGGGCCGCAAAAGTATTTGCGAGAGGAAGCGCCTCGCCCATGGCTTTTCTCAATTTCTATTAGGCCCTGTTTAAATTCTTCGATTATTTTTTTGCGTAAGCTTTTGCTGCTCGTGTGTAGAGGCTGCCGCCTGCAGAGGAAACTTTAGACTGCTCAAGTGTTAAGGCCCAACTGACCAACCTAATAACCTGAGGCCCATCATGAAACTGTGAACCATACAGCCTGATACAATATTGCAGGACTAAGGGTGTGATCGGCACTCCCCTTTCGATATTCTACGCCTTAGAACCGGTAGCATTTTATATAAAAATAATATATAAAAGTTTATTTATAAAAATATATTAATCGATTTCAGTACATTTAAGCTAATCCTTAATTAGCCGTGTGCTAATGAGTTCTCTCGTTTTCTAGTAGGTTCGAAAACGCAAAGTATGCCGTTAGTCGTCGGTTGTAGAGCTGCAAGTCTCCGAGTGAATGTGCTCTCACTAGCTAGTATTGTTTTTTCTCTTTGAAATAAAAAGCACTAAGTAGATTTTACCAGGTCCGACCCCATTTGTTAGCCCATTGCAATATCAGTCTAAAATAACATAGAAGATGTTACCAAACCTCTTTTGGATAGAAATTGGGGTAATTTTGTTTTGCAAATTTCAAAACTTCTCAATCCACTACACGATTTATACTTCGGTCCTTTCCTATTCATCTCCAATGAACTCGATGAATTCCGATAACAACGGTGATGACTAAGTTAGGATCTAGGGTTAGGGTGTCGGTAAGACAAGAGGATTTTCCTTTGGCAGTTGGAGGAAAAATCGAGTTTGACAGGAGATTGTCAACATGTTGCAGATAAGGAGTGGCAAGGTGGCAACAATGGAAAAACAAAAGCAAGAGGCTAAGAGGTGGAGTATGGTGCTAACCGTCAAAGACAGGAAAGATGGTGACACTAAGGCGAAATTTTTATGGTGACAAGATGGAAGAGAAAGTAGAGTGATGTAGGGAAGTAGATTACTGAGAAGGATTGCAGAGGTTGAGGGTATGCCACGATGTGCTATGTGAGGCTATGATGAAGCCAGGAGTGGTGCTGACAAGGTGGAGGGCTGGAACATGCGGACTACGGTATGAAAGTGGGTGACGGTAGGCGTTGGAAGGATGATAGTGTTTGTAAAGGGGTCATTATAAGAAATTGCATACCAAAGATTAAAGGTTTGTTTATAGACATGCCCGTCGATGAGGGAGTGCGAAGTGGGCAACCAAACATGGCCCCAGATATTTCATACTTTAATCTATACCGATGTATTCTAATGTATTTAAAGGGTCCTTGCTCCATTTTTTTTTTAAAAAAATCATGCTTACTTCTTTATTGACTTGGTTAGAACGAGTTTTTTTCATTGGCTCCGATGACTGTTTGATACTCCCTCCGTCATCTAATATAAGAGGATTTTGACATTTTGTTTACACTGTTTGACCATTCGTCTTATTCAAAAAATGTTGGGATTATTATTTTTTTGACTTACTTTATTATCCAAAGTATTTTAAGCATAACTTTTTGTTTTTTATATTTACACAAATTTTCTGAATAAGACGAGTGGTCAAACAGTGCAAACAAAATATTAAAATCCCTTATATTAAAGGATGGGGGAGTAGTAATCATTCTTTAAAGAGCTATGGCTCATAATGACAATATAAACATGCAATACAAATATTAAAGATTCCATTTTTCGCATAAAAAATCACTGTAGCAAAACACAAATTTTTTAAAACTTTTTTAAAAATATTCTTCCGACTTAGTAGAGCATCACCGCTAATTTATTAGGTATGACCTTGTTTATAGGGTTCTCAACACTATATCACTTTTGAAAAATCTGAAAAAATGAAGCTCATCCTGTGCTCCAAATCCCTTATGTCTGGTTCGGTTTGAGGGGATTGAGAGAAAATAATTCCGTACGATAATAGGCATGAAATAAATCCATTCTAATCCTTTTTCTTATGGGATTAAACGAACAAGGCCTTAGCTGGAACGCGGTGGTGCAGCCCAGCAGCCCTGTCGTTTCTGCCTTTCTGGGCGTGCGCACAAGGAAACGGTTATAGTTCCAGCCATACTGAGGTCTGCTACATGATCATTTTCAGGAAGCTCCAAAACTGGTGATCAGACTACCAGACCCGACAAAGAGTCTACCAAGAGAGGTGTGACATCACAGTGCAAAAAATATGTGATCACTATAAGTATAGAATTTATCTTCCCTTTTCCAATCCTTTGCGCATGGAAACGCACAATACCACGGTTCAACAAGAAACCAATATCCCGAGTACATCAATAGTTCAATCATCAAATACAGGAATTTATTCAGAAAATGAGATGATATGATAACGCAAACCGATCAAATTTCAAACCGCAGATAAGATCAACTTCTCCAGATTCATGTAGGATGACCCCTCCTTCTCCAAAGCAGCGTGAGCCTTGGCCTTGAGCTCGTGAACTTTCTTCGCCCTCTCTTCTCCTTCGACTCCTCCGTCCATGAGACTGTTCAAGGCCCTCTTCACCTGCTCCGTTCCGACCTCTGCCGTCTCCTCGCCGCCCCCGCCACCGGCGGTTAGCATGCCGCCGGTGGGCTTCGTCACGCCGATGGACACGCCGATCCCAAGCACGTCCACGATCAGCTTCTCGTTCACGAACTGCTCCGCGGTGAACGGCCACGCCGCCATGGGCACGCCTGCGGCGACGCTCTCCAGCGTCGAGCCCCACCCGCAGTGCGTCACGAAGCCGCCGACGGCCCGGTGCGACAGGATGGCTACCTGCGGCGCCCACCCACGCACCGCGAGGCACTGGCTGTCCGCCACGCCGTCGGCGTCGGTGTTCTCACATAGCCACTCCTTGACGTCGCCAGGGAGCGAGCCGGCGCCCTTGATGACCCAGAGGACGGGCCATGGGCACGACACGAGCGCCACGCCGAGCTGCATGAGCTGCGCGGGTGGCATGCGCCCGGCGCTGCCGAAGCTCACGTACAGCACGGACCTGGCCTTCTTGGCGTCCAGCCACGCCATGCACCGCTTCGCGTCATCGTGCGAGGCGGCGCGCGGGTCGTCGAGAGCAGGGGAACAGCACAGCGAGACGGGGCCGACAGCGAACACCTTCTTGCCTGTGGCCGCGGCGAGGCGAGCGGCGGAGTCACGCTCGAGCTCTTCGAAGCTGTTCACCACGATGCCGTCCGCGGCCAGCTCGAACTCCCGGAATTCTCTCATCCTGTACTCCACGGGGCAGGACGGCAGGAACTGCAGCGGCAGCTGCCGCCTCGTGAGCCTGCACTCGAAAGGCGGCAGGACAGGGACGTCAAAGAGCTCGTCCGGCGAGGAGACCGCCTCGTGCGGCCTGTGCGCGTGCAGGTACTCGCAGCAGAGCAGGGAGAACGCGCAGAAACCGTGGAAGATGAAGCACGGAGCGCCGAGCTCGCGCGCCAGGACGTGCGCCCACGTGTGAGATATCCCGGCGATGAGGCAGCTCAGCCGGCGCGGCCCCGTGAGGCGCCGGCAGTGCTGCGCCACTGCGTCGCCGAACTGCATGGCGGCGTCGAAGAAGCTCGGCACCATGTCCGGCGAGGGGACGTGGTCCACCCTCTCGCACCCCTCCGGTAGCCCGGCCTCGGCGGCCGGGAAAGGGATCGTGGTGACCGTGATCCTGGAAGCGCCCTGGTCGCCGGCACGGTCTACGCGGCTCTGGACGAGCTGCGCGTTGGCCGGCGTCGTGATGACGGTGACCGCGGCGCCGTGCGCGGCGAGGAGGCAGGCGATGTCGACGATGGGTATCATGTGGCTGGTGGCCAGCCATGGGATGACCACGAAGTGAGGCTTTGTGCCCATTTCCAGTTCTCTCTGGGATTCGTTTCGGTGGCAGTCCATGGCTTTGCTACGAGGACTTGCTCAGGCTGTGATTGCGTCGGCTCGTTGCAACCGGCGGCTAGGGTACAAATATGGTTGTGTACTTGTGTTTGGTTCCATATGTTCACTCCTTTTATTATAGGTGGATGTACAATTTAAAGTATTATTAATGTTAATCAACTCTCCATAAACATCTCATACTACTAATGGTATTTATCTACTGAGAAAATCAATATGCTATGAGATATGATTCATTTATTACCATTTAAAGTTTATCGATATCAATCATCACTCTCTTTGTTTCACAATGTTTATTAAAGTTTACTTTCTGAATATTCATCGCTTTAAAATGTTTGTCCATTAGTCAGACCATTCCACAATGTTGAGTTGTGATACAAATTTATTTGCACTTAATAAAGACCAGCTTCTGCCATTGTGAAGCGGAAGCCCGTCGCCGGTAAGTTTGGGCCGGAGCGAAGCCGATCGTAAAGGTACAGATCGTAATACCTTTTAGGGCTCCACCTCATATATATACCTATTGTAAGCCGCCGTACGGCGTTGTAACCTCGCCTCGATATAGTGAAGATATTTTGCTGGCCGGCGCCCCCGGATCCGCTCGGGGGAGGGCCGCCGTCCCCAGATCCGCTCTGGCCGCCACCATCACCGCCCCCTGCGCGCCGTCTTTCGAGCCCGCCGCCACGCGCCGCCTCCCGAGCCCCGCGCCGCGCCTCTCAAGTCCGTCCCGCGCCGCGCTCGCGAGTTCATCGTCGTCACCGGGGACGGCCGCCTGCCGCCAGCGGCTGAGATCGAGAAGAGATTTTCGAGAGAGAGGGGGCTGAGATCAAGAAGAGATGAAGAGAGTGAGGACTGAGAGAGAGAAGAAGAAGAAGAAGAAGATAAGGCCGGTTGGCCGGCGTGTGAGAGAGAGTTGAAAATTTTTTGAACTGTTGAGAGGGAAATAGGACCCGCATGTAAAAATTTTATCCATACGGACACTTAAGTGGTCCGCATGTAAGCGTCCACATGCAAAAATCGTGCAGCTCTTTAAACCTCAAATGATTTTTATAGCACTAAATTAACTCATGTGAAAAAGTTGCCAAAAACAATATTGTAGAACTCATTGGGATCTACCAATTTTATTTTGGTCATTTCTCCATCCGAGTTTGATTGGACTATATAAAATTTGAATTTTAAAATATAAGATATTCAATAATATCTTGAAGCAGTAAATGATTTCAAATTTTAAAGTCATCAACAACAAAGTTGTATAACTCATCAAGATCTACAACTTTTGTTTTGGTCATTTTTCTATATGACTTTGTTTGAACAGTTTGAATTTGAATTTCAAAATATGACAATTTCAAACAACAATTTCAAATAATAAATGATTTCAATTGAAAAAGTCATCAATGACAAAGTGGTATAACTCATCAAGACCTATAACTTTTATTTTGGTTATTTCTTCATCCGACAAAGTGATTTGTAACATTGTTCACAGAATGTACAAATCTCTTATATAGTTTCATAAACTATCAGAGAGATATATAAATTTTGTGAAATTGTTACTATCACTTTGTCGGATGAAGAAATGACCAAAATAGAAGTTATAGATCTTGATGAGTTATACAACTTTGTTGTGATGACTTTTTCAACTGAAATTATTTACTACTTCAAAATATTATTTGAAGTTTTGAAATTCAAATTTTTAATTGATAAAATAAAGTCATAAGAAAAAATGGCCAAAATAATAGCAGTAAGAACAGAATAACATGATAGAGCATGATTTTAGAAACATTTAGGAAAACAAATCATCTAATTTAGAGTTCATATGAGTGAGATAAACTAGTTTGAAAATTTTCAAAATTTTCAAATTTTATTTTCGCATACGGCTCCTTAAGTGGCCCGTATGGAAAAATTGATTTTTCCATGCGGGCGCTTAAGTGAGCCGCATGCAAACATGCGGCCCTCTTAAGAGGCCTGTATGGGAAAATTATTTTTTTCATACGGGCCACTTAAGGAGCCGTATGGGAAAATGACCCATTATTTTTGCAGACGCCACTAATTATGGTCCGTTTGCAAAAATCAAGGAGGCTCGTATAGAAAAAGCACTTTTGTAGTAGTGACAGTACTTAAAAATTCATATATAAAATAAGTTTATATGAAACCATATCGTTTAGGAGTTGAAAAAATGTATGCATATGAATCCATAATTCCATCCATTCATTGAACTTGAAAAGGAACATGGCCAAGGTGGACAGGTGGTAGTACAGGTTAGTGCATGTTTTTTAAACATGGGGCACAGTAATTTAACCTTAATTTAATACAATACCACATGGAGTATATGGTCGGCTAAACAAGTCCGAAAGATGTTCTGTTGGAAATCACACACTGAATAATTAATTAAGATGAAAGCGAACAGGAAAGCGACATATCAACAACAACAACAAAAATTAATGACTGCGAATAACATAAGTCGTTGTTTTGTGTACGTTCAGGTGCTCTTTTGGACCCTCTAATTACTAGTGGCTGCGGTTTGATGCTTGCTGTCCTGATTTCCCTGAAGAAGATTGCATTATACTATTTTTTTTTTCGGCGATGCATTATACTATATTGATACAACAGAGAAGCAAAGTACACAGTGGAGGAGCTTGAGCTAAATTCAAGAGGACCAATTAAATACTATAGTGATTAGTGAACACTAATATATAGGAGTACAAAAATAATTGAACAATTTTTCTATGCAAAATGTAGTGTGCCAATTTCAGGTCGCTTGCATGCCTACGGATGAGACATTGAGACGTCGCGTTCAGTTTTGTGTCCCTACTGCCTACTCCTACTTGACGAGTCGACGACCATGCTGATTGCCTGATTATCCATATGATACTATACTGTACGCGCATAGTCCACGAGACCATGACGCTGCGCCTTCTCATATTCTCTCTTATTCATGTCTAACGTTTAATCGTTCGTTTTATTTAAAAAATTTTTATGATTAATATTTTTATTTTTACTAGATGATAAAACATGAATAGTACTTTACGTGTGACTATTTTTTTTTAATTTTTTCATAAATTTTTTAAATAAGACGGACGGTCAAACGTTGGACACGGATTCACACGGCTGCACTTATTTTGGGACGAAGGTAGTACTCCGTTTTCAAAATAAGTTCATTTATTCATCCATATATACCAATATAAAATCTAAAATACTAAAATATAGATATATTTATTTTATCAAATCTTAATATAATTATTTTTCTTTTTATCTACTCCTAATAAGTTTGTTCCCTGCGTTCATAAACTTCACAATGATTGTTAAAAATAAACTTATTTTAGACAAATAGAAGATGCTGAAAATGATATTATTCTAGGAGAGGGATCAGAGTACGTACAGTTGGGACGGTGGAAGCGTAATCTGAAATTCTGAGCCATACTCTGACAAGTGATTACTCTATTTTAAAATATAACAACATAATGCCGACCTATTAGATTAGATATAAGTCACGTTCCCTTAAAAAAAGAGATAAGTCACAATTATGTATTACAAATATTGATCACATACAAAATATAACAACCTAGTATCAAATGTTTGTCTAGATTCATAGTATTAGGTTATGTCTAATTCGATATAAGATTATTATATTTTAGAATGGATGGAGTAGCAGCAATGTGGAGAATACTGTTGAATTAGGAGGTTAATTCCTACTATTGTTTTTGTTTTTGCTGTTAATTACGGACCGTTCCGCCAAAATTTTAACGGTAGCAGTGCGAGATGAGTCTTGGGCCGCTAATAGGATAAGCCCATAAGGCCATAACAGGCTTGTCCCAAGCCAATACTCCTGCTTTACTTCTTTTGTTATATCCAATCCAATTCAAACCAAGCCTAGCTATTCCCTCCGTTCCATAATATAACGGATTTTGGATTGATGTCTGTCCAGATTTATTGTATTAGGATATGTCACATCTACCCAAAATCCCTTATATTATGGGACGGTGTTAACGCTAAAACTTGGTAAGCCCGAAGTCATCATCGGCTTAGAGTCAGTATCGGCTTCAAAGCCTTGGAATTGGCCGAAGGGAGTCGTCAAGTCGCCGGCAGTTGTGTTCTTGATGGAGTCGGATCAATTAAAGGAAATTTATCTAGAAGAATCCGAGTTCAAGGAGGATGCGGCATGGCAAGTTATCTATTAATTAGGAATAGTTTCCTTTTATCTTTAGAAAAAAGTGTGTTTAGTGTCCGATAAGGACTTTATGTTTTCCTTTTATCTTTAGTAAAGATTATTTCTTGTCTGACAAGGACTACTATCTCCCCATGAGTATAAATATGTACACCTAGGGTCATTGTAAATTATCATACAGATCAATACAACTACTCTCGGCGCATCGTCACCCTCTTTCCTGATGTTTTTACTTATCAACCGACGGAATTTGACACCTGACGCGGGGCTGCATCAGCTTTCGATATCCAGCGAAGGGGTAAGTCCTACGTGCCCCCGCCACTGGTGAATCTATCGGCCACATTGGTGCTGTTCAAGGCTGCCTCGCTTCGATCTCTTGGATCGCTCTGGTTTGCTTGAAAATATGTACCTACCTGATATTCGTCAAGTCTATCTCTAATCGCATTGTATTTAGAGACGCATCGGTTTAGTTTGGGACTGTCTCGGTTAAGTCTGATATTTTGTCTTAGCCGATATATCTCTACAATCACAATGTTGTTATAAATAGATTTGTTATATCCATCACATTAGACAAATCTATCGGCTCATCGAGTATTAGATTATCATATACAATCTCGTGCTGCATCGGTTAGGTTCGACCTACTATATTGTTGTCGATAATATAAGTCTTGTTAAGCCGATAGGTTCATGCTAGTGTTTTATCTGGGTGCTAGCCGATAAGTTATCTGGACATTGCATCGGCTTATAAGGATTGCATATACATATAAGTTGGATTAAGCCGATGACAACAAAGGTTTCATCGATCTATCTAATCTTATGGATTTTATGACATCGGATCTCCAGCCGATGTATGCTTTAACCTTCGGATCAATGCTTATTCTATTATATCATATTGTTAGCCGATTGGTTTCTACTGGATTATATTGCTATATTATTGTTATTTATCATCATCAGCCGATCGCCTTCATATCATTATCTACATTGGACATATAGCCGATTGCTCAATACCCTATCGCTATCGGCTGGTATCGGCATCGGCTGAAATTGCTCCATCGGCTTGTCAGCCGATCGGCTCATTGATTTGCTATTTGCATATCTTGTCAGTTGCAGGATCAAACTGGCAGGCACGCCCGCATCTCATCAAGATTTGGACATGCACAGAAGTTAAGCAGATCTTTCAGGCCAATGTGTGTTTTTCGCATCAACAGATAGAGGGAGTATATTCAACATTTCAACCCAACATAAACTATGCCTGGGCCTTGACCAAGTGTAAACTATGCCTGGGCATATGGAACAGTTCAACCTTGTACTCCAAATTAAGAGTAAAATGTAATCTAACTATGATAGACTCAAAAAGTAAGCGAATTACCATGTGAAGTATGAAAAAAGTGAGAGTTTAAAAATGAGACATCACATTTTCTCAGGAGAACACCTAAGAGTTATGTATGAAATCTAATTTGACTTTCATTCTATCTATTAGTAACGTAGCAAAGTAATAGAAAAGATAACCACCACGTTTACTCTCATGGTCTAAGAATTTTCACATTAATAAAAAAGAAAAAAATAAATTCCGAGTAAATATACAAATTAAAATATCTAAAATTCAAAATAAAATTTAGGTAGAGAGAAAGAAGTTACTAACTTAGAACAAAGGGTAGAGCCTATAAATAAACTTGTGATTGATATAATAGCTATAATTAAAATTAGGGTGAAATTTATATGCTAAAGGTAGCTATATTTTTGGAGGGGGAGTGTACATCCGTTGCAATGCATGAGCATTTTACTGTTTATATACAAAATACAACCATGTCTTATAGAATCAAATGTTAATATTTATATATCAAATACAATTGTTTGAAAATTTAGCTTTGCACAAAATCAAACACGAAAATCAGCTAGTTATTCTTTTTCTATATGTTCTAAAGAAGTAGAACCATGATTATTCTCATCTGAATAAAACCAACTATATTATGCAGTAACAAGGAACCAATTGAGTATCACGAACAAATCGAAATTCAAACGGAAGAATGGATCAATTTCTCCAAATTCATATACGACGATCCACCTTCCTCCAGAGCAGCCCTTGCTTTCTCCTTGAGCTCGTGAACCTTCCTTCTCATGTCTTCCCCTTCATCCATCAGCCTCGCCAATGCCTTCTTCACCTGATCGGCCCCGATCTCCACCTTCGCCTCGGCGCCTCCGAGCTTACCAGCCGTCAGAACGTTCTCCGTCGGCCTCGTCACGCCGACGGACACCCCGATGCCGAGCACGTCCACGATCAGCCGCTCGTTGATGAACTGCTCGGCGAAGAATGGCCAGGTGACCATGGGCATGCCGGCGGCGACGCTCTCCAGAGTCGACCCCCACCCACAGTGTGTCATGAAGCCGCCGACGGCCGGGTGGTCCAGGATGGCGACCTGCGGCGCCCACCCACGCACCACGAGGCACTTGCTGTGCGCGTGCGCGACGCCGTCCGCGTCGGTGTTCTCGCGCAGCCAGTCCCGCACGTCGCCGGGCAACGTGTCAGCGCCGTTGATGACCCAGAGTGTAGGCCAGGGGCACGAGACCAGGGCCATGCCGAGCTGCATCAGCTGCGCCGCCGGCATCCGCCCGGCGCTGCCGAAGCTCACGTACACAACGGACCTGGCCTCCTTAGCGTCCAGCCACGCCATGCACCGCCTCGCGTCGTCCGAGGCGGCCCGCGGGTCGAGAATCGGTTGGTGGGGGAGCGAGACGGGCCCGACGGCGAGCACCTTCTTGCCGGCGCTCGCCGCGAGGAGCGCCGCGGAGCCGTGCTCCAGCTCCTCGAAGCTGTTCACCACGACGCCGGACACGGACATGTCGAATTCCCGGAGCTCCTGCATCCATCCACTCCCCATGGAAGTGGAAGGCACGAAGTGCGGCGGCAGCTGCCTGCCTAGCACCTTGAACTCGAACGGCGGCAGGACCGGGATGTCGACGAGCTCGTCCGCCGATGGCAACGCCTCGTGTCGCCGTTGCTTGAAGAGGTACTCGATGCACAGCAGGGCGAACGCGCCGAAGCCGTGGAAGACGTAGCACGGCACGCCGAGCTCGCGCGCCACGCCAAGCGCCCACGTGTGGCACATCCCCGCGATGATGCAGCTCGGCCGGCGGCGGGGACGAGCATCCTGCCGACGGCAGTGCCGCGCCACCGCCTCCCCGAACCCTCTGCTGGCGCGGAAGAAGCCAGGCACCATGGCCGGAGACGGGATCAGGTCCAGCCTCTCGCAGCCCTCCGGCAGGCCGGCCTCGGCGGCCGGGAACGGGATCGTGGTCACCGTGATCCCCGCGCCGTGTGGCGTGGCACGGTCCACGCGGCTCTGGACGAGTGGCGAGTTCACCGGCGTCGTGATGATGGTCACCGGCGCTCCGTGCGAGGCGAGGAGGCAGCCGATGTCAGTCATGGGGAGGATGTGGCTGATGCTACCTATCCATGGGACGAGCACAAAATGAGGCTTGGACGTGGCGGTCTCCATTGATTTCCAACCGATCGAACCTAGTACTGAAGTTTGATTTGATTTGGCGCGAGAAGATGGAATAATCTCGCTGTCAGAAAAATGACTGTACGACTGTATCGTATTCATGGGCGTTCGTGCCATTATATATGCAGGTCATTTGGCTCCGTGAAATGCGTAGTCGTATGCTTCTAAGAAGATATAACCAGGCTAGTGTCGACATGTTGGATGCGCTGCATACGTGTAAGCAGGTGTCACGCAGTCCTGACCTTCGATTTTGTCCATGGAAGAATGGTCAGTTGTACGTGCTTATCTTGTTTTTTTTTTTTCAGCAAAGGGACTCAGTCCTCCATTTCCATTATGAAAAATGATGCAACACTACAAGGTTCAGTACTTGTCTTCCGCGATGGAGCACCGTGCGGCGTGCGCTACCGGACGTTGCGAAGGGGTGGGAACTTGATTAGGTCACGGATCCGGTGTTGACACCAATGCTTGATTTTGTGAGCACATCGTAAGCACATGTCAACGTTCACGTCCTTACATCTGTGGCGACTAGTAGTCCATCGTAAGCGGTGACGCATATGATCGTAATAAACACGAGAGGGACGGCCCGTTTATTAGTATTCCTCTTCTCCTCCGTGTAGAGCATAACAAGGCCCAACTAGAGAAGAAGCCGAAAAGGAGTCCAAAATCGCGGTCTTTCCCTCTACGTGTTGCGGACTTGGGGCGCAACTTTTGAACACTGTGATGATTGAAAAAGAGGGCTGCTATGTACCGGTATACCGTTCGGACGGTATAGGCCTACAAGCAGTTAGCCAGACGATTCCTTCCGTTCAATTAGTATGTTATGTGTATTATCATCATGTCTCAAAAGGTGTGTCATGTCACCCCATTGACCCATCGTTTGTCATTTTGTCCACGTGCATACGCAAAAAAATCTTCATGTGATAGCTAAGCTAGTTCAGTATAGCAAGTAGTAGCCTACGTAGCTACCAGGTGTCAAATCTGATACTGGGTATGTATCACATCTGATACCGGGTGAGCATTAAGTTTATTATCAAGTATCATGTCTGATACCGAGTGGGTGCCATGCCTCATAACAGGCATCGTGTGTGATACCGGTTGGTATCAAGTACCAGATAACCGGATGGCCAAGTATCATATTTGATACATGGTGGGTATTGGTCTTGATAAACGATACCTGGTGGTTATCAGTCCTAGTATCATTGCTACTATATACCGCAATTCTATTCAAAAACGATATGATACCGGTTAGATATCAAGTCCTGATATCTAACCGGTATTATGTGTTTCTGCCACGTATCAGGTGATACTTGCGAGGTATCAGATGATAGCTATCAGGTATCATGCGATTCTTACCACGTGGTGGGTGATGCTTACGATGTATCAGGTCTTGATACCTAGCCAGTATCGGGTGATACCTATCAGGTATCATGCGATTCTACCATGTATCAGGTGATACTTGTGAAGTATTGCGATGTATCAAGTCCTGATACCTATCAGGTATCATGCGATTCTACCACGTATCAGGTGATACTTGCGAGGTATAAGATGATACCTATCAAGTATCATGCGATTCTTACCACGTGGTGGGTGATGCTTGCGATGTATCAAGTCCTGATACCTAGCCGATATTGGGTGATACCTAACAGGTATCATGCGATTCTTACCACATGGTGGGTGATGCTTGCGATGTATCAGGTCCTGATACCTAGCCGATATCGAGTGATACCTATCAGGTATCGAGATGATACCTATCAGGTATCATGCGATTCTTACAACGTAGAAGATGATACCTATCACGTATCATGCGATTCTTACCATGTAGAAGATGATTCTACCACACTCCACAGCCAACCATGACCAGGTCAACAAGCTCTTTGCACCCCATCTTGTCTCTTTGCTCCCCCGAAGCAGTAGATGGATAAGATGAAGGCCTGGACTCGCAGCGGGATTGACGGCCAGCGACGAAGGCGACGACTGGAGAGGGCCCGCGACAGAGTTGGGGCGCTGGCAGAGGGCGCATCGGCTGGCCACGCGGATGGACCCGGAGGTGGGTGTTAACGGCGGCGCTGTGGATGGCGGGTGGTGGTGCTGGAGCTCCAGGCAGCAATCCGGCGACCACGTCGCTGTCGGCCGCATCCTCCGTCGTCACTCCCCACGCCGGGCTCATCGCCGCGGCCACGTCCTCCGCCGTCTGTGCCTCACGACAAGCGGAAGCTCGTCGCCGGATTCCGCGATGCCGGGGGCTCGTCGGGGGCGGCCGCGTCGGAGCTCGTTGCCGGCGACCGCGTCCTCCGTCCTGGACACCCATGCCACACGGCTCGTCGCCGCGGCCACATCCTCCACAGTTCGTGCCTCACGCCACGCTGAAGCTCGTCGCCGGAGTCCGCGATGCCGGGGGTTCGTCGGGGGCGGCCGCGTCGGAGCTCGTCGCCGGTGACCGCGTCGTCCGTCATCCACACCCATGCCATGCTGGAGCTCGTCGTTGACTTAGTTGCAGCAGCACGCGTGAGAGAGATGTTGTAGAAAGAATAGCTAGGTAGAAGAAGAGTGGATTGGTTGGTTTCTATCCTATCCCGTCCGGACGGTATACCGGTGTTCAGCATTTCCCTTGGAAAAAGTACACCGAAGGTCTCTCGACTTGGCATCGAGTTATAAAATCGTCCTTCAACCATAAAACCGGATACAACACATCCCTAATTTATAAAACCAGTGCAAACTAGATCCCTCTGCTGTTTTGACTATGGTTTTGTCCAACGTGGCAGCTGACACCGCGTGGGACCCACGTAGGCCCCACATGTCAACCTCATTTCCCCCTCCCCTCTCCACATCTCTTCCTCTCTCCTCTCCTCTCCACGGGCGGCGTCAGAGGAGTAGCTGGGCGCGTGCAACGGGCGCAGGCGGCTGGGACTGGGAGAGGTCCCGCCAGTTCGTGCCCGCAGCCACCGCCGCGTCCTGGTTAGCGACGGTCGCGGCCGCGTCAGCGAACGGGATCATCGGGACACGCGTGTGTGTCATCGGGAGTGGGCCGACGGTGTGCATCATCAGGACCAGGCCGACGGTGCACACTTCGGTGGTCTACGTGGCGTGCGCCGAGCTCAAGCCCGTGCTCTTCGAGGGCTTCTTCGGGAACGACATCGCCACGGGCCGGCAGCTCACCACCACCAGCACCGATGTTGAGAATTTCCCAGGCTTCCCCAACGGTATCCTCGACGCCGACCTCATGGACCGCTGCCGCGCGCAGCCTGTGCACTTCGGGACCAGGATCGTCTCCGAGACTGTCACCGCCGTCGACCCCTCCTCGTGCCCCTTCCGCGTCGCCAATCTTCCTCGACGGCGTTGAACTCTGAATCCTTGCACGCCGACGCGGTCATCATGGCCACAGGAGCCGTCACGTGCCGCCTTCATTTCACCGGCTCCGACGCATTCTGGAACCACGACAACTCCGCCCGGCAGCCCCGCCTCCACCTCTGTGCCCACCGCCATGGCGTCCGGCCCCGCCTCCGCCTCCGCCTCTTTGCCCACCGCCGCCGCGTCTGGCTCCGCCTCCGCCGGCGGCAAAGCAGTGCCGTCGACGCCATTCGCGACCGGCCGTGTCCTCACCTTTTCCCGCATCGCAGCCGCCGCCTCGTCACCCGTCGCCTCCTCCTCTCCCACCTCGCCCCGACGGCCTCCGCCCTAGCCGCCGGTCGGCTTGCCCAAAGAAGAGAATAGAAGAGTGAGAGAGAGAGGAGGAGGAAGGGAGAGAATAGGGGAAAGAGAAAGGAGGCCAACGTGGCCACGCTGACATATGGGGCTCATGTGGGTCTCACACTGACTCAGCTGTCACGTAGGATAAAATTAAAATCAAAACTGCCGAGGGATCTAGTTTGTACTGGTTTTATAAGTTGGGGATGGGCAGTATCCGGTTTTATGGTTGAAGGATGATTTTGTAACTCGATGAAAGTTGAGGGACCTTCGGTGTACTTTTTCAGTGATGATTTCACTCCGTACGGTGAATCAGTGATGGGCGGGCTGGTGGCGCTGTGCCTGCGTGGCTGGGCGCCGCACCGCACGGCCCGGTCGACGGCCCGTGGAGCGTAGCTGACCTGGCATCATCAGTCAAGCAGTCATCGAGCCTGGCACTGGGCAGAGTACTGTAGTAAATGGGGGACAATTTGGGGTCCAATCGACTGTATATTGCCAGAGATTCGTTGCGTGGGAGGAGCGTGCCGAGTCAGAAAAGCCACCCATCAAGGCATCCTGCAGTTTGCTGCATGCCGTCTGCGTCAAAATATTTGTTCCCCGTCTAGGGCGCCTGTCCCTTGCAAATCCATCATAGATACTCCTAGTAGGAGTAGTATCTATCTCTAGCGGTGAAAAGTCAAACTCCAGCCAAAATGATCCGATGATTTGCGGAGCAACCAGAGCTCTACTCCCTCCGTCAAAAAAAAAAAAGGCAAACCTGGATTTTCGTGTCTAACTTTAACTGTCCGTCTTATATAAAATTTTTGTCTTATATAAATTTTTTTTATAATTCGTATTTTTATTTGTGTTAGATAATAAAACATGATTAATATTTTATACGTAACTTGTCTTTTTAATTTTTTTCATAATTTTTTCAAATAAGACAGATGGTCAAACGTTGGGCACGGAAATCAGGGTTTGTTTTTTTTAAGGACAGAGGGAGTAGTACTCTGTAAACAATGCGTAGGTCAAACTTGCACAGAGAGAAAGAGAGATAGTAGCAGGAGGAGGGAGGAGAAGATGACGATGCTCTGGCGAGAATAACATGAATGTATGCTAGCTCACATTATACTGCTGGTACACAAAAGGAGAGTCCTCCTCTCCATTCTACCCATCCAACATAGAAAAACAGAAATACTATGGAACTGTGTACCATCCCAACGATGTCAAGATGATGTCAGCATGATACTTATGTACCAAATCTAGTATCCATATTAAGTATTCCCTCTGTCTTATAAACAACGAATCTAGAACTGGATGTATGTCCAGATTCGTAGTAGTAGGATGTATCACATCCAGTACTAGATTAGTTTTTATTGTGACGGAGGGAGTAAAACATATCATATTTAGTATTGGAGGTACCAGATCCGGTACCTACATGATATATACGATATCATGTTGACGTCATCATGA